CACAGTCGAAGTGCATTCATCGACACAATTATTTTAAAAACTTTCATCGATGATGAATGTCTATTGTACTAATTACCTCCAACAACGTCATCTTTAAGAGCAACGCCATCAATTTCAAAACCTCTTACAATCTGGAGTGTCGAACAAAAATAAATTACTATTTACAGCTTCTCTCTTTTTTATTAAAAATCTTAGTACAATATCAATTATGGTATAATAATATTTACTGTAATAATGTTATTACAGTCATCACTATTAATCTCTTTTATTACAACCTGAGTTAACTTCTTCTGTTAGCTCTTCAAAAAAAGAAAAAGCCAACCAAGTAATGCACTTTTTTATATATTAAAATGACTATTCCATAAAGAAAAAAAATTATTACCCTCAATTATAATGTATTACCGACTAATATTTACTTTCTGTCTTTATTTATCGCGGCCCAGAAGAAACGAAGAAAAAACACAGAGTAATAATTAAGAAGTCCCATAAAAAATTTATGTAAATATATATATATGTAAATAAACATGCATGCATATATAATAAACTTACAATAATCTAGAAATTAAATTTTGATCGTGTATCATTTTTTATGTGTACTTTTAAATATCATTTTTATACTCTGTTGTTTAAATATATTTTACAGAGTTATCATTATTTTTTAACGGATTATTACATTATTTACTTCAATTTTATCATAAAATAAATAAATAAGCATCCGTGGAATAGCACGGTTAAGTGGATGGAAAGTAGGCCAAATACTAAGGATAAAAAATTCTAGAAAAAGAAAAAGAAGAATGGCCATGTGGCCATGATGACACGGCAGTCAAGGAATAACACCCTACAAAGGTGAAGCTGTTTCTATATGTAAACAATACGTACCTACAGCGTGTGGCTATATATATATATATATATCATATATATGCGTACGTATATAGTGTATATATATATATATATATGATATCTAGGCTCTAGCTAATATATTTCTTTTTTTTTTTTTTGATAATTAGGCTCTAGATAATATTATTCTGAAAAGTTGGTGGTGGAAAAGGCAGCAGAACTTATCATTATAAACAAAGGATATTTTTTCGCAGTCATGAATACTCATGATGATCATTTGAGGGGTAGAATGGCAAATAACATATGATCTTTTTTTTTTTTTTAATAGTTCCCCCCGTCCACTCGCCGCGTTGAAAAGTCCCACACGCGGCAATGCTTGGATGCTACAAATCCAAAATCACACAAATCGTGTGCGTCAAAATATGCCCACCCGTGCGTAGTCTTTTTTCTCCTCTCTTCTTTGCTTTATTCTCGGGGGCATGCATGCAAATTAACAAAAATATTGAGTCCTTGATAGAAAATTGTCGGCGGTCCAAATTAATCTACTAGCTTGCTGGACTATAACTTTACAATTTCTATCAAGTCTCGCACGAACACACCACTTTTGTGGTGATAAAAACTGAAGCAAATCTAGCTGGACATTATATATATATATATATATATATATATATCTATATGCGTGTGTGTGTAAGCGTAAATTTTTTATGTGTGTGAAAGCAGTAGAATTCCATGAAAGTAAAAGACGAACATGAAAAAGGTAATTAAGGTGCATGCATATATGTACGTATAACTTGCGAAAAATGTCCTCTTGAAGACGTACAATGTCATGTACGTTATGGGATAGATTGGACGGAAATTTTATGGTGACATCAAATGTTAGACATCACCGTCTAAAAATGGGTAGGTGATCAAAATCAAATTAGCGTGACACATGACTATTAATTATGATACGTACACTGCCACATAATATTGATGTACGTATATATGAACAAAAACACATCTATTATTTTGCTATACGTAAGGGAAATAAATTGTGGATTTCGTGGGTGCCGCCCTGCGAAGAGAAAATGGCTTCATTTGATTACTTTCGGCACTAGTCCTGGTCATCCCGGAATATGATACATGTTAATTTGCAGTTTTCCCTTTTATTTTTGCGAAGAGTACTTGTTGTGCATGTTTGCATGTGTGTACACATACACTATTCAGTGACGGAGTCAGCCTTTTACTTCAGTGAGGGCGTATATTAAATTTTTTTTAACAAATTATCTTAGTGAGAACATATAAGAAAATATATTTATTTTAGTGAGGGCATAAATTATTTCAGTAGGAGCTTAAGTGTAAAATTTTAAAATTTTTAAAGGTAATATTTTAAAAAAAAAAAAATTTGAGTAGGAGGGGTAGTCCCCTGAATTGTACTTAAATCAGCTACTGACACGATCATAAGTGAGAAAGAGAGGAAGTTCATAAGAAGACGGTATGAATGGAGTATACAAAATTAACTTATAAAATTATAGCAAAATAAGATATCAAGTGAGTAACTTAGAAGAACGACATTTTTGAGCAAAAAATAATAAAATAACAATAAAATAATAAAATAAATACTAATAAATTCCATATATCACCATTTCTAATTTCCTTGTCAATGACCTAACTCAAATATGGGCACTAAATCTATGTAAATTATTTCTTGCAAGTACCAATAGTACTAACTTTTCCGCTTGTTTCTTTCGATTAGATGATTTTGTTTTTGTTTTGGGGAATGTCGAATTAGATTGATTTATACAGGCGCAGGCTGATATATTTTCCAAATAATTAACCTGCGTACATTAGTGAAAACTAAATCCAATTAATTTCGTATTAGCGTGCATATATATATATATATATATATATATATATTATAGTAATTAGTACATAGTAGTACAAGCACTCAAGTTTCACAATCTCGCTGGAAATACTGTTACCCATCTCTATCCTTCAAAAAAAAAAAAGAAAAAAAATTTCTTGGTCAACATTGAAAACTTAACCATAACCATCGCCAATACAAGTGCTAATGTCAATTGTATATTTGACATTAAAAAGCATAATAATAGTATTTTCGACATGTTGTACTCCATAATACTATTTTAAATGTTAAATATACTTCTTATTATAATTATTAAGATTTCCAAGTTATACAAATAAACTTTTAGGGGACGTTTGTTTCATATATTCGTCTCTGATTCTGAATCATGATTCATAGTTCTCTAGTGTTTTTCTCTTACAAAAAACACATGTAAAACAAGAATGATTCTGAATACATAAACCAAACGTCCTCTTAATTTTAAAATAAGTTGAAAATATAAATTTCGCAATGATTATTGAAAAAGTAAAAATATTAACTAGTAGTATATGATAAATTTGGCATAACAAATATCACTTTTTCAGAGTGTGCTTTCACACTCAAATGTCAAATTTTATCATTGGCACATCAATAATAACATTGCTCTAGTCTAACATATAAACCTATATATACGTTAGGACATTGTGAATTTACGGCCAAGCCAAGCTTAACAACCACATTATTTAAAGTTAACATTTCAATTACTTAAAGTCTCACTAAGTTATTCTAACACACATGAACGCGCGTTTTAACATTAGTCTATTCCGCGTTTTAACATTAATCTATTCTATCAGATTAAAATTTATACACCAAACATGATTATATGGACATGAATTGCATGTCTTTACCGGTAAGAGTTTCTAAGGAGGGCCTACTTCTAGGAGTAGATTATGTTTTAACCTACAATCATCTTCTCAGCCGGGCATTCTTTACTTCGGCAGTGTTCATCATGATTTCTTCTCTAGCTTCTAGTTTTTGTTCTTCTTTTAATTGTGTTTCTTTGCGTCTTTTGAAGTTGTTTTGAACCTTTTTGTAATTGTCGATCCATCTTATTTTATTTTAAAAAATTTGAGTCGGGCAAGGCTTTGGAGTCTAATGGGTTCCAACGTGATTGAGATGGGCTAATTCGTTTTTAATATCACTCTTTAATTAAAAATAGGCGTGATGAAGCATATCTATGTAAACTGATTGAATTTGACATACGACAACTTGTTATATTTTAAATATTTTATGTTTTCCTATATCACGATCGTCGAGATATATGAACATATAAATATAACATGTATTGGTTTTGTGTATTTACGAGTTAGAATTATGATGTTATGAATATTAGCTAAACATGTAATTTTTGTTATGTTAAATATTTTATGTTTTCCTATATCACGATCGTCGAGATATATGAACATATAAATATAACATGTATTGGTTTTGTGTATTTACGAGTTAGAATTATGATGTTATGAATATTAGCTAAACATGTAATTTTTGTTATGTTATTATGAAGATCTAAAAGTCCATAATTGTATATGGCTGCAGGTAAGGACAAACGATAATTTCATATTTGACTTCATGATAACATGTAGAATTCAGATCCACCCGACCTAAATTTGATAGCGCAACATTATTAGAGCGATCTTTTCCTACCTTAACAAAGAGTAGTACTCTTATTAACATAAAATATATATGTTTTAAGAGGGAAAAACAAAGAAAAATGTAAGCAAAGGTCAGACAGTCAGTTGTCATGACATGTGTTTTCCGACAAATATAAGGTACAAATGAAGACTGCGTTTTTTATTTTTTATTCTTTCCCCCGGGAAGACAAAAAGAAAAGAAAGAAAAGCAATAAAACCGAAAATTCTCAATTCAACTCCTGTTTCCGAATCATATTTTGAATGTCAACTCAAGGGAAGCAAATTACTGTTTTTGTTATTATTTTATAGATATAAATATATGTTCCTGTTTTTTCCCGCACTTTTCAACACTGCCAAAAACAGAAAATAAGAGATCCTAGAGACCCAAAAATCCCCAACCGACCACTTCGTCCTTTTTTTTTTTTAAATCATGAAAAAGAAAATAAGAAAAGAAATATAAATTTTCTCAGTCAAATACTCGCCAAACATGCTTTTTCATTCCCCATCACCTTTTTCCTTTCCTCTCTTTTCTTATTCTGTAGTGGCTCCACATGTGAAAAACTCCTATAAATCTCACTCTCTCAGCTCTCCACCATAGGAATTAACCTCAAAAATCGTCCCTCTCTTTCCTCTCTCTCTCTCTCTCTCTCTCTCTCTCTCTAACATTTCTTGAACCCTAAAATGGCTGCTTCAGTAATTCAAACCCTGAACACAAAAACAAACAATCATCACATCATCTTCTCAGACAACTTCTGTCCTAAGTCCCATTCTTTTGGACAGGTCTCTTTGCCCATGAAAAATGAATCAAATATTTGTATGTCTTCTTCCTTTTCTCATTCATTGTCCTCAGTCAGGCAGTCATCCGTCTCTGCCACTTTCCTCGCGACATCCATGGCTGCTGCGGCGGCAGTCGAGTCGTCCAGACCTAAGTTGTCAAACCTTTGGAGAGAAATTCATGGCTGCAACAACTGGGAGGACTTAATGGAGCCGTTGCACCCTCTTCTCCGGCAGGAGATAATCCGTTACGGCGAGTTCGTTGCCGCCTGCTACAAGACCTTCGATCTCGACCCGAACTCGAAACGATACCTGAACTGCAAGTACGGCAAGAAAAATATGTTCAGAGATGTGGGAATGGAGAATTCCGGCTATGATGTAACCAAGTACATCTACGCCACTCCTGACATCACAATTCCGGTCCAGGCCAGCGGCACCTCCCGGTGGATTGGTTATGTGGCGGTGTCATCCGACAAGGAGGTTAAGAGGCTCGGAAGGAGGGACATACTAATTACCTTCCGAGGGACGGTGACCAATCCCGAATGGATTGCCAACTTGATGAGTTCCTTAACTCCAGCAAGGCTCGATCCTCACAACCCAAGGCCCGACGTCAAGGTCGAATCAGGATTTCTTAATTTGTACACTTCTGATGAAAGCTCGAGCAAATTTGGGCCTGAGAGCTGCCGGGAACAGCTTCTTTCGGAGATTTCGAGGTTGTTGAACAAATACAAAGGTGAAGAGCTAAGCGTAACTTTGGCCGGTCACAGCATGGGAAGCTCCCTGGCTAATCTTCTCGCTTATGACATCGCCGAGCTCGGTTTAAACAAGAGGAACTACGACCGGAAAGACGATATCCCAGTCACGGTGTTCTCTTTCGGAGGACCGAGGGTTGGGAATTTGGGGTTTAAGGAACGGTGTGAAGAACTTGGTGTCAAAATTTTGAGGATCGTAAACGTAAACGATCCGATTACGAAGATGCCCGGAGTTTTGTTCAACGAGAATTTTAGGGTTTTGGGAGGGAAGTACGAGTTTCCTTGGAGCTGTTCATGTTATGCTCATGTGGGCGTCGAATTAGTCCTCGATTTTTTCAACGTGCAAAACCCTTCGTGTGTTCATGATTTGGACACGTACATAAACTTATTAAAGTACTGTCCTCAAAGAGTTCATGAGCAGATTGAACGGGAAAATCATGTTGTGAACAATATTGGAGGAGAGTTTTTCAACAGAGCCAAGGATTTGTTCTTGGGTGCTCAGAATTTCAACATGTTGCCTTGGATAAATGCCGCTGGTAATATGGTGAACTTGGTTCAATCACAAAGAACATAACTAAATCTTTCTCGTAATTAATTATGATAATAGTTTTAGGAGTAGAATTATATGATATACATGAAGTAATCCTCAGCCCTTCTGAATTTTTGCAACGGAAAAGAGAAACTTCTTGTTAGGAAATTAGTCATTTAGTGCATAAATGTAAACATATATGTTTTGTACATGAGAGAATATTTTGATCATGTCCTCTGAAAATTATATCATGAGGACGTGGTTTGCAATTTTTTTGTGGCGGATAGGAAAATTTATTTTACTATCTGTTGTTGTCCCTATTGGTATTAATGAATCTATTATTTGTTTATTTTATTTCTGTTCATATTCTTGGAATTAAAAGCTTATATAAGTTGATCATTGATATATAGTTTTTGTGCTGTGACATACACTAACATATATATGCATAATTGTATTTTACCAGGGGCCAGTCATGTTGAATTTAGTTCAATTGGAGAGTACTCAATATTGGCTGTAAACAGCTTCCATGGAATAGTGATCAATCATCCGTGGATCATAACGGAGTTAGTTTGTTGTGTAATTGCAGAACTAAACACATATGCTGAGATATTCCAGGCTTAACCAAAAGTAAGAGCTTATGTATAATATGTCCGTGTTTTTTTTTCCTTAATTTGACAAGCTGATTAATCATTGGTTTTTTCTCGTCATTCCTACAGCAATACTCAACTTGTTGGATAAAAAATTCATTTGGTCTTGTAAAAGTGCAATGATCCCATATTATAGTGACTGCTTAGCGTTGACTGCGAAAGTTACAGGCGGAGTCCTTGCCAAGTTCAAAAACACAAGATTAGGTCAGATATCAATGGGAATTAAAAGTTAACCAATAAATAATTCACTATCAAATATGTCAAATATACATATATGTACATCGTAGCTCTACTTAAGATTAACTAATATTATTATTTACACCTTTTCTCTCAATTTTATTTTCTTTCGGTTTTGATAAGGAGTTTTTGTACGCGGCATAATTTGAAGGGGCTAGCAAAGGTTTAAGTGAGGACTTAATCTTTTGCGATCAACTTCAAGCTTTAGCTTTTTTTTTTTTTCTTTTTTTTTTTTTCCCCTTGAGGATGCTTATGATGCTCCAGTTTTTCATGTTTTTCTTTAGTTCTATGGTTGTTTCTTTTTATTATATATTTTTTCCTTTTATTTAATTAATATATTTGAGAGGGCGTCTTGTGCGGGATAACTAGCTAGCTTCTTGGACAGGTATAAACCTATTTGGGAATTTAGACTTAAAGGAGAACGAACTGAATGTTGTAAATTAAGGATGACTGTGATATTTTCTGTAAAAATTGGTTTTCGGTCCCTTTAGGTGTGACAAATGCATTTGAAGCTGAGTTGATAAGTGTGATCACAGCAATTTGATTATGCTAATCTTAATTATGGTTGGAAGGATTATTGGTCCGAATGTGATTACATTTTTGTAGTTCATATGCTCCGATCTCGCAACAGGTCGGTGCCGTAATTGGAAATACAAAGCAAGTTGAAAATGACGACTTTTTCACAACTAGAAAAGATGAAATTCATTTTTATTCACGTTTTTTGGGAGGATAATCGAGCCACAGATAAGTTGGCCTCCAAAGTTGTTTTTCTTTAGTCTGTAACGTAGTGGTGGACGTCTCTGGAATTCTGTGATCAGTTGGTTGCCAGAAATATGGCAGGTCCTCGTAGTTGTGTACTCTATTTCCTTCTTTATTTTTTCCTTTTTGGGTTTTACTCGGAAGGTTTTAGCAAGGTCTAACTGTCAAGCCTTGGCATCATCGGGAAAGTTTTTGCTTGACAAAACTAGAGTGTTTTTAGTTTCTCTTGCTATTTTGGGTAAATTGCACGAATGGTCCCAAACTCTTTAAAAGATGACAGTTTGATCTCTAAACTTTTTTTTTAATGAAACGAACCCCAAACTATTTAAAAGGGTGCAATGTAGTCATTTCCGTCAAATTTCATTACATTTTTAACTGAATTAATCATGTACAAGGTATATGATCTTGTTGAAGAGGGTATTTTGGTAAAATACCAAGCCTAGCTCTCTCTCGAACGTCACCGGAGGGCCGCAATCAACGCTGGAGAAATTCGGCTTTTACTTTGGAAATGAAGTATCTGCTGCCGATCGTCTGCACTCTCTCCAGTGGGACCTCGAACCAGATTTGGCAGGCGATTCGTCTTTCTAGCCAAAATACGGGCCACGTGATATTTCACGTGCATTGTGCCGTTATTTTTTGGATGAAATTTTATGGAAAGGACTACATTGCACCTTTTTCAATAGTTTGGGGTTCGTTTCGTCAAAAAAAAATTTGAGGACCAAACTGTCACTATTTAAAGAATTTGAGGACCATTCGTGCAATTTACCCTACTATTTTTTAGAGTTGTTCTTTACATTCTTTTGAGCTATTGTTTGCCTTTAGGCTGAATCTTTCAATTTGGGCTTGTTAATTTCATTTTTCTTCTTTTTAATAATAGTTTGAGAGGAGGGTTTCATAATAGACGTAACCATCTCGTGGGTTCCATCGTAGTTGGGGTTTTCTAATAAGTTGGGATTTTCTTAATTTTCCTCTACTCTTTTAAATGTTCCAACAATATATGAGATAATTATCCATGTCTAATAAGTTAATATTGCATGTACTAGAGGATGTGGGATAGACACGCTAGTACATACACGCAAATTTCCATAAGTAAAACTTGATCATGAATGATCAACATGGTAAGCATGAAGTACGTGAACCGTGTATTCCCTTCTTCTAGATATATAGTTATAATTTCTTTCTAATACCATTTAAAATCAAATATATTCTTTCTGTTTTCCAATCACGAAAGCTCATAGTGTGAGCAAAAGTCTTGCAAGAATATTTGAACAAGATTTCTCTGTCCTATAATAATTGTACTACCGATCAGCTTTGACGTTTGAACGTTGAAGGTTATTCTATCTTTTTCTTGTTACATAATCATTTGCATGCTATATCAGACACGCTTCCGATGATCCTCTACTAAATATATATATATATATATATAGATATGATTGCCTCAAACATTTACATAGGCATGCATATACTTACTTGATCGTGCGATTATATATATATACGCAACAACTTTATCAATTCAAAGAACAATTTCCAAAAGAAAAGAGCATTTCATATATTTACTTAATAATGCAATGTGGAAAGGAATTAGGAAGTCGTGTGATTAATTCCTTGGAGTTATGTTTCAACAAAAACTTGATTGGAAAACTGAAACTAAGGATATATGTCGAGTCTACTTTAGAAAGAGACAATTTGTTTCAGACACAACTGAAAAATGAATGAAAAGAAACCGTCAATAATCTTGTTAAATCTTTTCCCAGTTCGATCCTGCATGCACAGGGGAAAAAAAAAAAAAAAGAGGAAAAATTGAAGAACAATATGGATTGAAGTTGAAGTTGATGTAGCTGAAAGTACGTCGTATAAGATGAGTGCTATAGCTAGCTGTTACCTGTTGATATTGTCTGCATTAGCTTTGGTGAAGGCAACAGTTCAAATATACGTTTGTACTATATATTCAAGACCTTTAGAAATTGCAGTATGAACATATAACGGTGTAAGGCTTGGCTGTTCATCGAAAGACCAACATCTGTACTAGGTTAACTCGGTACTGGGGGCAAGGTTTTATTTTCTTTCCAAAATATTGGAGTGGATAATTAAATGGGTACCGCGAATTAATTGCTAGAATGTGCTAATTGAGCAAGAGTATTTTGAATTTCTCTGATATAAATTATCCACTCTCGTTATTTATTGAGAGTGTATTCTTTTCATAGGTATGAAAAGAAAATTTGAGTTGAATTCAAATTTTTATGCAGGAAAATATTGTAGTAAAAAAATTGAGTTGTGAATAGAAATAAATCGAATGGATGATTAATTTTTTAGCATGATGGCAAGCGAATATTGTAGTAAAAAAAATTGAGTTGTGAATCAAAGTTATCGAAAGAATGGAGGGTTAACTTTTTAGGATGATGGCAAGCGTCTATATTATTTTTAATCATCGAAGTAAACTAATTAAGACCTACTTATTTCATTGAACTATGAGTATTAATTATTTTATTTGCCACGCTGGCTATGACACGTATGCATATATGCATGCATCTATATACCAAAATGAGAATCATGGATTGGTAAAAATCTTCATACATTGAATCACATATGCATATGTTTTTCGCGCCGTTAACATGTAAAACCGTGTTTCGCATGCACATAGAATTGAAAATCAGGCTTAGTCAATGGGGTCTTTCTGATTGGTGACTTCAGCCAAACTTTGGAGCGTCAAATACTAAACTTACAGAATAATATATATATATATATGTATATATTTATTTATTTATAAGTTTCATTTGCCAAGATATATGTCCCACCAAGTAAAATGGTTACTTGGATATTCACAGCCAAAAGTTTCGTCATTTTACCTAGTGGCATATGTGCATCTTCCATTAGACGTTATTTTGAGAACTTGACTTGCTATAATCAATATATATATATGAGTACGTAATTCAGTTTTTTTTTTTTTTTTTTTTAATGAAGAGAAAAGGTGCAACTGACAGAGTAACTCATAATTTGGTCACTCATTAGTAATTAGTGCAAAGTGTGAAACCTTAGGTTCATTGCAAATATTAGCAAAAAATAAAACATAAATATAAACGATAAAAAAGAGTTAAAAGATTGCCACTTAATTCCCAACGTCCAAATATATATGTTTTGAAGCATTAACATATCACTGTGAAGAAACTATGTACCTAGCAATTATATGTTACGCATCCAATAGTTTCACGCGTAATAATTGTAAGATAAATCAGTCAATTTCTAAACTTTGGGTACCTCTCCCTCGCAAGCTGCTTTTCAGGTTCATAACATTAGCAGATAAGAAGTACTGCCACTTATTTTATAAACAATAACTATTATCTTATTACTACACAAAAAGACGATATGAAACTGTGTGGAGCCGGGCCAAAACTCCACTACAATTACAAGAAAAGACACAAGACTTATAATTTCGAGAGTTGTGAGATTATGTGGGATCCAACACATCTTTTGATTGGAGTGATCGAAAGAGTATAAAGCGAACATATAGGAATAAGGATATAATATGTTTTATTCAGAAAAAGAATCATCTAATATACATTCATGTATGCATCTGTCACTTTCAAGAACATTGTACACATGTTATATCCATGTCATTATCAACATTTATATATATCCTCCACACGCGCCAATGTTTCTGAATTTTTCTCTCACTTTATCACATTTCTATTTTTTTTTTTTTAATGATCATGCTATTGTTATTTTAGTTGGGAAAATAACACTAGCATCCCCGGAATTATATACCAAAATTACAGTAGTACTCTCTGACAAAACTTAATTATACTGTCTGTCTCTCTTATTAACTGCTAAATTTTTAAGTGAAATGACGAAAACTTTCAAATAATCTAGACTGTTGGATTTTAACGAGAGCCAATCTAAGCCATTGATGACATAGAGAAATATTGATATTTAGATTTTATTAAGAAAGACCGTTATATTCAGTTCTTCAAAAATCAAATGCCCTAAATTTTGAAAAAACTCCAAACGAAACTCTAGATCTGATGTTGTTAGCTTTCAAATCTAGGGGTGTTCAAAAAATCCACCAAACCTCAAAAACCGTCAAATTCAAATCAAACC